CTTTCATTTATTGTAAATCAGATATTTGGATGTCTTGTCTAGAAGAGCTTTTTTGCTATATAAGTAAGATTGAAGAGCAAGGGAAAAAAGAGCCCGAGGATGTATGGAAGAGGTGAGGGTCAGCAGGCTCCCCCAGCTTGGCATGGGGCTCCTCTCTTCTGCCCCTGCAGCCAACAGGGCTGATCAATGGAAGCAAAGACAAAAGGGATAGTTTTGTTCCTATATGGGCAATAAACTCTCCTAAATTCTCAAGAGGCCTCAAGTTGTGTCAGCTAATTAAAAATAGCTATGAACACAGCACATTTGCAAACCTTAGACTGCAGGGGTGAAGCAGACAGGCTGGGAAGATGCTTCCTTCAGTTCTCCCAGTTACTGCCTGGACTCAGCTCTCCCAGGAAGAACAAAGGTGAGGAGGCTCAAGAAAAAAATTAATTAATTAATTAATTAATTAAAAAAGAAATTAAACTCAAGCTATCAGTTGTCAGAACTATGATAATGCTGAATTCCATAATCATGATCCAGGCTACTCAGGGACCATTTTCTAAGGCTTATTAGACATCTGGGAGTAAAGCAAGAGTGATATCTAGTAAGCTACTCGTGTCTCTAGGTTTGCCAAAATTATTGTTTTATCTCTTGATTTCCTGTGTATTGGCATTGCTACTGGACACACTCCCTGCAAGCACCCCATCATGTTGGGGACCACAGCTTGGCCATGGCAGAGCCCAGATTTGGTGTCGATACCACTTGCAGGCACTGCTGGTCTATGGAGCACTTCTCTCTCCTTGTGCCACATAAGGCACATCAGTGGCTACCATCAGAGTTCCCTCACCAACAGCAAATCCCTGTGTAATCAGGGCCCCTGGGGCTTGCTTGCTGGCTCTGCGGTCACACATCGCTCAGGTTCAGCCTTTTCCCCAGCCCAGCCTGGCATCCCCAGCTTCAACCCTGGAATTTGCCATTTTGCTGCAGCCAGGAGCTCGACATCATGTTCCCTCTTCCCTGTTGGGACCTGGCTGCAGGTTGTTCTTTCCATGTTGTTTACAGCACAAGAAGGAATACTTTTTCCCCAACCTGCTGCCCTAAAAGAAAAGAAAACCGGGAAGCAGAACAAGAATTCTTCCCAGTTTGGGGCATCTTTTTGTTATTTTGCAATGGGGAAAAGGACTGGCATACAGCAATTGGTTTTTTTCCTGAAGTTATGTCTCATGAAATTAATACTTTAGAGAAAAGACAAAGCACTGCCAGTGAACTGAGACCCCTTAAGGGACCGGATAGCTGCTGGTTGCATGGATACGTGCACGTCAGTTGGGTTCAAACCTAAGGATTCACCACCAACAACCTCATTCTTGGCATTTCAGCAGCAAGAGGTTCAAGCTCAACCCCACCAGTCAGTCCTCCTATGAAAACACGAATCTTTATGACCCTTGCCCAGATAAATGTTACAGCAAATCGGAAAAAAATCTAAGTATAATGGAAGAAAAAAAAAATTGTAACTATAATAAAATCAGACAAGTACATTTACTGAAATGTGGCTGCAGGGAAGTCCCAAAAATTTGCCTTAAATCTGAAAACTCCCATCAGACATCATCAAACTGTTCAGAGATGGCATTTGTTTTCTTTACTATCATGTCTGCTTGTCCTTGCTAAGATCTGCTTCCTGCCTTATGCTGCTTTTCTCTCTCTTGTTAAAAATTTTGATTTTGTTATCTTAAGCAAAGCAGTGTTGTAGAAGAGTAAAATTAATGTATGGAGGAAGAAGTGCTGACTAAGATGACTTATGCTGGCAACTTCATGTGCAAAAGTCATTTTTCAAAGCATGCCACGCTTCCTTGGCCATCAGACATCACTCCCTTGGAAGAGCTTTTTTTTTTTCCAGCCAGGCTGATGGGACAGACTCTCATTATCAGCTGGCAGCGCACCTGCAGCAGCTTTCTGAAGACCACAGTTGGAGCCCAGCACCAGCCCACAGGAAAAAAAAAAAAAAAAAAAAAAAAAAGGAAAAAAAAAAAGGCACAAGCAGCCAGATATTTTGTCTAACTATCTTGCCTCACTAGGGCTCCTATTCTCAATTCACTGTGACCTTTAGAGCGCTAGAGCTGCTGCAGGGCAAACAACGCAGCCCCAGCCTCCTTGGGAAGCCCTCGCTCCTGCCCTCCTGGCTGCGAGTGCTTTGCTCGGGCGCTGCCAGCCACACACACTGCGCAGCCCTAGAGGAGGAGTGGGGATGACGCACCAAGTCATTATGATTTGTGGCATCTCTCTGAGTAGGATGTGCAAAATAAAGACAGATGGCAATGGATAAACTCCAACAACTGTGAGGCTGCCATTAGCAATATCTCTCACACTGTGCAGAGCGCCCTCAAATGAACTTCCCCGTGGCCCAGAGTCTCCAGTGACACAGATACTGCGGCTCATCTTTTAGTGAGAACTTCTGTGTGTTCTGCCATTTTTCCATCTCATTTTACTTTTCTTTCTTTCTTTCTTTCTTTCTTTCTTTCTTTCTTTCTTTCTTTCTTTCTTTCTTTCTTTCTTTCTTTCTTTCTTTCTTTCTTTCTTTCTTTCTTTCTTTCTTTCTTTCTTTCTTTTTCTTTCTTTCTTTCTTTCTTTCTTTCTTTCTTTCTTTCTTTCTTTCTTTCTTTCTTCTTTCTTTCTTTCTTTCTTCTTTCTTTCTTTCTTTCTTTCTTTCTTTCTTTCTTTCTTTCTTTCTTTCTTTCTTTCTTTCTTTCTTTCTTTCTTTCTTTCTTTTTCTTTCTTTTCCTTCCTTCCTTCCTTCCTTCCTTCCTTCCTTCCTTCCTTCCTTCCTTCCTTCCTTCCTTCCTTCCTTCCTTCCTTCCTTCCTTCCTTCCTTCTTTCTTTTCTTTCTTTTACCAGCCTCCTGATCTTGCTTTTAAATCACCCGTTTCACATGGCTGCTCCTGCAGCCATCACTGCCCAGCAGTGGTGCCTTGACGAAGCAGAGAGAGCTTTCACCTTCGGGGTCTACATGGGAAACCTCTTTTCACATCAAGGCTTCAAAACACCCTCCTGAGCTGCAATGTTTTCCACATGTTCCCATCACTGCACATTGAGGTGCTAATTCCTTAACGCCCTTTTCTCCCTGGGATTTTTACAGGGTTACCAGCCCTGCTGAACCTCAGCAGAAGGGTGCAGGCAATAAGTCCAGGCACATTTCTTCCATGGGTTCAGCTTCTCTCATTCTTTACGTAACCTCTGAGTTCAGATGCCAGAAGCCTGCAGCTGACACATATGTTATTTCATCCAAAGTAAATGTGGGCACATTAGGGTTTTCTGATGCTTTTTTTTTTTTTTTTCTTAAATATATCAATAGAAATTAACTGCTGATGGCTTTTTCCAGAAATGAAAATAAGAAACAAAAATAATGAAGAAACACAAACCATTTGGGGTAGCATTTTTATAACTTGTGGCATTTGGTCTGATTATTATTAGCGCGGAAGATGGGATGAAGGATATCCCACACATCTTCAAAGGGCAGCTGAGAACTAACTGGGTCTCCCCAAGCCAGCGCCCCCGTCCACCAGAGACTCAAAGTCAAAGCTTTCAGTAGCCTTAACAGCAGATTTCCAAGCCACTCTGGTGAAAGCAAAGAGTTTTCTCATGTGCAAACACACCTGACAATTGGCATAATCCCAACACACACACATTAGGTCAGCTGAAATATTCCGCTGTATTGACATTAATTCCACAGCTCAGGCCCAAGATCATGTTCTCATTTGTCTGAATAACAGAGCATTTAAATATTTAGTTCAAATATAAAGACCTTCAGCTTCTATATGGATGGAAGGGGGGGGAACCAAGGGACAAAAGTTTTCCTTGTAGCATGTACTGCACTGATTTCCAAACCTTGGCAGCCATGAGAAAGACACAGCAACGGCAAAAGTCTGGCCAAGACAAATCTATAAAATTTGCACTGTACATACAGCCCCTCCACTGCATGGAGACCTAATAAGCCCAAATACTTTCTGCCCCTCCAAACAGTTGAGCTTCAGAGGTTTCCCAAATGGATTCTAGTGGGGCCAGAAGCGTTGAGACTTTATTATGTAACAACCCACATTATGTAGTGAAAATCTGGAATACACTTTATTAGCTGGGGCTTTGTTTGGTCAGGAAATACCTCCAGACAAATGTGATGACACAGGCATTTTTAATTTGCCACTTCACGTTCATAGCAAATTAGGTGATTTTACTTGTTATTCCCTCCATTAAAAATGACAGGCTGCAAGGTTAGCAGTTTCCCTCAGAAGCTCTTGATGACATTGCAGACACACATAGAAAGCACGAGCACATCAGAATGAATTAAGATCACCTCCACTGCCTATAATCTGAAACACTCCATGTGGTCTCTCTTAACATCAGTCCTCAATGCCAGCACGCTGGAACAGCATGTGCAAGAGGTTGGAGGGAAGGGAAAGGAGAGGTCAAATACTGCATGCTCCATACGATCAAATTTGTGGTATAAAACCAACAATTACCAGTGCAGCGGTGAGTAAAAAACAAACGTCCTATCTATTACCCAATTTAGAATGCCAATGCGATGCCCTCAGGACTCTCGGTCTTCAGTTATTTTTTTGACATATTTGGTAACACATCAAGTCTCTGTATCTGCTCTCAGATTAAGTTGTTGGGCTCTTCTATTTGTGAGCTTAAAGCCATTTTCATTTCAGAATGGACTTAGGAAAAGGCCAGCTAGGCTGCTGCTGAAGTACAAGTTGAGTACAATAGGAAAAATGTAGCAGAAATGATGTTAAGTGCAAAATATTTAATCTTGTCTGAATATCACTGGAGCAGCTCAACACAGACCCAAAGAAAACACTGATAAAGAAAGAAAAAGATAGAAAAGGAAAAAAAAAAAAAGTAAGGGAAAAGGAAAAGGAAAAGGAAAAGGAAAAAAAGGAAGGAAGGAAGGAAGGAAGGAAGGAAGGAAGGAAGGAAGGAAGGAAGGAAGGAAGGAAGGAAGGAAGGAAGGAAGGAAGGAAGGAAGGAAGGAAGGAAGGAAGGAAGGAAGGAAGGAAGGAAGGAAGGAAGGAAGGAAGGAGGGAAGAGGGGATAAAAACAATCCCAGTTTTCTGTCCAATTAGAATTAGGAACTGAAATGTGGTCAGCATAGACACATGCACTTTTGCTGGACTTTGGTCCAGAAAATATTAAAAAATAAAAAATAGAACAAGTAGAGCTGGGCAATAAACAAGTCGAGAGTGCTGTTATCCTGGTGGATTCTAGGTAGCCATGGTGAGTCTGCAGCTGCATGGTTTTTGGCTGGAGGTAAGTCTGAAGGTCTGCCAAACTGTGCTGAATGAGACTTGTGCAGCTCCTGGGGCTTGCTGAACGAGGGGAAGCATTGGCGGAGGTCTGCCGGCTGGCCATGGTGCATGGGTGGGGGCTTCACTGAGGACCTGCTGCTCCATCCATCAGCAGCACGGGACACCTCACCAGTGTGCCAACATCTTCTTGGAGAGCCCCAGAGTTACGGCTGTTTGTGTAGGCTGGAGGACACCGTGCAATTGCTCCTCGGTTGCACTTAGCTATTTTATGGTGAGGCAATGAGGTAGTGCTGGGATTTTGAGGAATACCAGGTGTGCCTCCGAGAAACTGATTTCCATTCAGGGAAATAAAGCCTCCTGCGCCTAGGCCTCCTGCAGGCTGGCTGGGTGGGCGCCTGCCGGCCACCTTACACACAGGAGAGCGAGGGTGCTCACCCAGCCGATCAAATGGAGCCAGATGCCACCATCAGGTCAAGTGAATGCGGCCTGTGTTCATCACCACTGCAAGTGATGGAAGCTCCCTGGTCTGAACAAGCAAAATGCCTTTTAGAATTCATTCCAACCCCAAAGAGAGAACCCACGACAAAAACATCATCTCACTGACAAAGTACGCTTCCCTGGAAGCCACCTCTGCAGGTGAGAGGGAGGTTTACAGATGCTGAATTTTGGCTCTTGGAGGTGTGGGGTCTGAGGGTCACAGAGGTGTGAGCACGCTGTTCTTGCTTCTGCTGGAGCTATTCTGTAGCCAAGCCTAAATGCAGAAACCACTTTTTGTATTTTCTTCCCGCTTCAGATGAATAACCTTTATTTTTAAAGCAAGAAGTGCCAGATGTATTTTCAGACATACCTGCTCGGTTGCCACCATGCCTCATCCTCTTGCCACCTCAGCTCTGCTGATCAGTGGGCAGTAAGCACCCTGTTTACTTTGTCTGCCCTCTGGTGTTTTAAGCCTGTGTATAATTGCTGAGAAACCCTCTCTACCTAAGAGTCAGAGGAGACTCTTTCTTTGTGTTTCTTTTCACTCAGAAGGGGCTGAAGCAGCAATCTTGAATTAAAGGCTGACTCTGATTGGAAAATAAACAACTATAAAGTACAATAAATCCCATTGAAGAGTCCAGTCAAAACATCCCAATGAACGGCTAATGCTCTACTAACCAAATCCAGATGTCACTGCCTTGTCTGGCACTAATTGGTTGACTGGAGAGTAAGTAACTGTGTAACCTGAAGGAAATCTCTACTTCTTGCACTTGGGATGAGTTGCTAAGGCAGAAAATGGTTTGGCTTTGCTGTGTTTCTTAATTTCCTAACCACAGAGGAGTCACAGGCACCTGCACTCATCAGGAACTCTGCTGACATCCTCCCACTGGCAGGACACGGTTTTTAAACACCTCAAAAAAAGTTTCTCCAGAACATGAAGCTGCCTCTGACATCTGATGTTCCTTCATTCCCAAACATTGCAGGGTTTATTTGTTTAACTAAAGGACATGCCCAACCAGACTGCAATGAGGGTCTTAGATAAAGGTAGTTGCGAATTCCAGCTGGATGCTTTTGAAATACCAAAGAAAACACCAAGGAGAGCAAATGCTTTCAGATATAAATTAAAAAATAAAATAAAATCAGAAGACTGGAGATGAGTTTGGAAATAGAAAGTTGATTTTTAAAATAAGATTTGTCTTGTGCACCTCAATTCCTATGGCTTCGGAATTCCATGTCTGCCTGCACAGCCCTGCATTGGCAGATGACACACAAAGTGCCTAACCAGGATTTTCCAATTACTTTTTTTTTTAGGCATATTTGACACAGTCATGTTTTAGAAAAAAATTTATACAATAGCACAAAGCACTGTGTGCCTGGAGGGACCTTCTCTGTTTTACCAGGCTAATTCCCAGAGCCGTGATTCAGCACACCTTTACTTACATCGTTTTCCTTCAAGTAAAGATGTCTCACTGGCTTCAGTAACTTCCATGACATTGAGAATTGCTATTTGTAACTCATTCAGTCACATGCTGAGATCATAAAAAGAGGTTCTGTGACATTCCTAAAAGTTAATAAGATTCTGTTAAAAAACAACAACAACAACAACAACAACAAAACCTGTTCATATTTCTTATCATTTTAATTACTGTCAACAATATCGTTAATTTTATCAAATAACTTACTAAAATAAACTTAGTTCTCTTGGTATCATTGCCATGTTGTTTGCACTTTATAAGAGCATTTTAGAAGTACGTAAGTTTGCACACCAAAATCTAACATTGAGCTTCTGCTTACCTACATGTAAATAATTTTTTAGTGCTTGCTGAAAATAGGATCCTATGACCCAAGCCTCAAGCAGCAAAGCCATTTTCTCAGCGGAGCACTGTACAGTGTAGCATCTGTCCAGACACATCCAGTCGTATCTTTCACTCATGAACTGCAAGTGGATAACATGGGATTTGAAATACAGTAGACAGTTGTGCAAAGCATGAACAATGAAAATTACATCCAGCCTTTAATCCAGGGGATTCTGGGCTGAGCTCAGCCTCCGTGGATATACATATCCATTCTGCATTTAGTTCCACATATTCCAAAACTGGATGTTCCCCCAGAAGAGTCTCATGGGAGCAGAAGGGGGATTAAGCAGCTTTCTCTCGATGTTTTGTTATTAGTATTATACATGTAATATGCACTCACACATGCAACTGTGCTGCACAGTTTTCAACAAAGAAACTCATTTCTTCCAAGATACCAGAAAGTTTCACATTTCAGGTACTGTCTTTGTTTTGTTCTTGGTCTTGGGAGAGAAAGGATAGAAAAGAAGTGGAAAGTTATTCATACACCGCACATTTGCAATCAGAAAAATTTTGATGTCTTCCTCCTTCAAGTCTGAACAGAGGAGCATGTCCTGCCAATAGGACTGTAAAGGCAAAATGAGCTCCTTCAGCAAACTTCTCATTCCAAGCTTTTAAAACTGCCAGAAGTTGATTTGGCTTTAGCAGTGGTGATACCATGGAGGATTTCTCTCCTGTAGATGTTGGCTAGATATCAACAAAAATAAACCCACCATCTTGCTGGTACAATCTGGCTCTTGTCAGCACCTTCACAAGAAGGCCCAGAATGAAGCGTGGGTCCTCCAAGGACCATCACTTCTACCTGTTTTTTTCTTCTCAGCTCCCTGAAGGTCTCACTCTGGTATCTCTCACCAGCAGTAATTAGATGCATGGCTTGAACACCACCAGGAATGTTTTAGAACATGTGATGCATGAAAGTACCAAATTTAAACAGACAAACATTGAACCGCTTGCAATAGTGGAAGAGAATTAAATTTTCTGTTCAATTTTATTTCAAAAGTTCCTAAAAAGAAACTGTAGGATGTCAGGAAGAAAGCACCTATAAGAGTTAAATTTCTGATTCCATCAGGATGAAATAATTTGATAGTATATTCTGAAACAGGTTTTTAATAGCAGTGCAGAGCATCAATTCTTACTGGTACTTAACATTAAGTATCTCTTTTTATGTCTAACCATTTTGGAGCACTGAAACACATCTTTAAAAAAGAGCCTTTGAATTTGGCAGCACAGTTGACTGCTAAAAGAAACTGTTAACATTCAGCTGAGTGGCATGTGGAAGAAACCCAGCAAAGTAAACTCAAGGGTTAATGAAAGTAAATGAGATAATCCTCATTGATCTCCCATAATCCCCACGGTCTGAGTGCAACTGTCAATCACGGGGAGAGACTTTTTTTCAAAGCTATCCCTCTGTGAATAGGTCATTCCAAGCTGAACATACTTGATATACAGACATATATTCAAACATACACACACACACTGAACATATAACAAAAATCTTAGCAGGGAAAATTCCAAAATGAAGGGGAAAATAAAGCATAGCTAAAAAATATGGTGTGTAAATTTTAAAAAATATAAAGTTTCTTTTAGCAGTTGAAATATATTCAAGCCATCTGCTCATGCTACCTCACTGCTTCCCACGTAAGCTGGTAGCAAGTAATGAATCTGTTGGACCCTTCCCCCCAAAAAGCTGAGAAACTGTTCCCATAAAATTAAAACTTACTGTTTAACAGGTCAACCTAAACAAAATACAGTCTGGAACATAAAAGAAATTGTTTCAATCCTTCTCAGAGAACTACTGACATGAGAAATGCACTAAATTAAGTGATGGCATGTCGGAGGTTACAGGGCTGCTGCAGCATTCCTGTAGGCATCTGGACACCAGGGCAGAGGGAGAAAGGGATGTTCGGTGCCTCTGCAGAGCCTGAGATCAGCATCTATCTCTTCCAAGAACTGCACTGGTCTCAAAGGCAGTCTGAGGCATCAGTCTTTTTCTTTTAACTCATTTCACTTTGGTCCTTGGCTGCATGAGCAGTGCTGTGTGCTACTAGCACAGGCACAGCCAGGGAGGGATCTGCTGGAGCCAGGGCAGGAGCTGGCTCAGGGAGGTGACAAGATGTGGAGGCATCTGGGTTCAGCTTTACTGAAGGGCTTCAGCTCTGCAGCCAAGGCTTTGCCACAAAGGCTCAGTTCTAAACGTACACCTGATTTTGTGAGAAATGTATTCAAGATGTTTGGTGGGCAGAGATGCTGTTCTGTACAATAATTATAATTACCTTCTTCCTCTGTGAAATTTCCATATAGTACTCTGCTTCTGAAGTTCTTGATATAATAGCAATCACCTACAGAGAAAGTCTACAGGGTTCAAGAGAAAGACAACCTTTCAACAGAGAGTTCAAACCTGCCTGTAATAATGTTATTACGTTCTGCAGAGGAAAAGGAAATTGTCTGTCAAAGGTTTAGGATAGAAATGCTTCACACCACACAAAGGTAACTCTTAAAAACCCAGTGCAAGAGCCATTTTCCACCTGTAAATATTCAGAGCAAACTTTGCTGCCTAAGCCACCTCTTCTAACCTGAGGCTGAGCTGGAAATAAATGCCCCACTATCAGGTTTAAAGAAAAACCAGCTTGGTAGCCATTTGGCCTGCAGCCAGGATTACAGTGTTAACTTCACGTCTGTCAACCTGTCACTTAAACATTTACCAAACTACTGACCACTTCTATTAAAAGACCATTAAACCAGGATTAAGCTTTTCCAGGGTTAAGCTGATGTAAAAATGCAAGGAATGTCACACCAAGGGTGGCTCATTTTATTTGTACTGTAAACAGGCAGAAGATGGAGGATAAAATGGTATGTGTTTATTAAATACGGGAATAGATCCCTTTTTCACATTTTTCCTTCTTTCAGCTTCCTAAACTTAGATCTCATTACCCAGTGCCCCAATAGCTGCAGAGCATCACAAAGCAAACACAGAAGCCTCCAACTGCCTTAAACCCAGCCCTGGCTGCTTTACAACAGATCAGCGCCGCTCTGCCTGGACGAGGGGTGCAGTACAGAGCACAGCTGTAGTGCAGGGGAATAGCCGTGGCTATAAGCACAGCCTTTGGTTAGTGTGTTTATCATAACCAGGGACCAACCATTAAAAAAGGATGTTCTCATCAGAAGGGAGGGCCTATTCTCAGCTGGCTGAGTTCTTTTCGAAGCAATGTTTGCAGTTGCGGAGGTGAGGTGTGTGCCCAGGCAGGGTGCTGCTGCTCCTTTCATATTGCTTTATATCAAGTCCTATAGGAAAAGGCACAGAACTCTACAAATCATCATCTCCTCAGCTAGAAGAGGCTTACATCTGAAAATGCTCAAATGGAGATAAAATTGACCCATAAACGAAGAGTATTGTCTCAGTTTTACCTTTATAAGTTCCCGGTGACTCTGCAATGTATCACGTAGGCACAGGACCTGGAGGCCAGCCCTGCAGGCAGCCTGTACGCACGCTGAGGACAGACCATCCGTCTGCCTTCGACCTCTGGGCTCACTTGATGCTGTTCAATGCTGTTGTAGGCTGGGTTTCTCCACCCAGGTCAACACACACAGGCATGTAGGATCAGAAAGCAGCTTTTGGACTGTGCAGATCTAATGGATCTGTAGGCAATGCTTTCTTGAGGAACACATAGACTCCTAAGAGCTAGCCACAGATAATATCTGAGCTAAACAACCAGTTCTACAGATAGCTACGAACTGAAAACCTTAACAAGAAGAATTAAGAAGCTGATACAAATCCTAGTTATCCTTGCTAACATTTAATGAGATACCTCCCATTTCACCTAGACCTTCCCCCTCCTCCCTTCTCCCTCCCCCCAACCCCCCCCAGTTAGCTATATGAAATATAATTTTGCTTTCAGGAAGTATCTATGACACTTCCATCTGAAGCAGGGCTTCCAGTATTTACAGGTATCAAAGAACTGGTCTTAATTTCATCTGATACTTTAAAAAGCCTTTTATTCTGAAATAAATTATTGAAATGTGGTATTGGTAAAATGGGTTGCTCCAGTAATGGATTTACTGTGATGGTGCAATCAATTTCAGAGATTGGATTTCAGGATAGAAACTATTCATCACTCTCCATGTCAACGCAAGGTTTACCTTCACACTGCGGTCATCCACCGTAACTTACAGATACCAAGGGCAGAAAAGGATCTATGGCAGGAAAACTCTTTCTAGGGCTTTTTTTTTTTTTTTTTTCCCTGTTGTGGCTGAGGTCAGAGCCTCAGGAGCTTGTAGTTACAGCAGCTCTACAGCATCACAGGGCCATCCAGGGCATGAGAGGTCTCATCCCTGTGCAATAACAGGAATGCTTAAATATTCTGGTTACCTGCTCTCCAATCTTTCAAATGCAGGCATGTGTTTCTCCCCCTTTTCTGCTATATTTCAGCATCACAGAGCCTTTCAGTAGATAAAGCCATCAGGACTGCAATAGGAATAATGGGGAGAGACCTTGAAGCAGTACAACTTCCCATCCTGCGGCATAAAGCACCCAGGACAAGACTGATGCTCATGTGGGAAGGAGAGGAAGGAGTGCTGTTATCTGTCCCTCCTTGCCCTGCACTGCCCGCTCCCTTTCAGTAAGTGCATGCCTGAGGCTTTTCACCAGCTGGAGACCTCAACAACTGCAGGTACACCTGTCCTGCCTGACCTACAGCCACCCAAGACCTCTGCAGCAAAGGGGGGATGCTGAGAACAGGAGCACTTCTGTCCTGGAGACTGGCAACAGAGACAGGCTTTTGCTCCATTTACTTTCGCTCCACAGAGGCCCGTGTGTCCTTCTTTTTCCTTGTTCCCTGCCTGGTAGAGCCCCTCCAGTCCTGCCAGGGCCACAGTCTGTGGATCCTCCATGAAGCACCAAAAAACATCTCATCTGCAGTGTCCACAACTACCAGTGGCAGCAACAAACTGCACATCTAAGCCTTGTGACATGAAAAACATGTAAACTATTTTTCCATCTTCATCTCTAATGAATCCTGTTCTTAGTTCCTAGAAAGCAAAGTCAGCTCCATAAATCACGAAGGCTGTCGTTTTGGTGTTTTACATTAACACCTTCATTCATGTTTTGCTGTGACCTCCTGGACTGGGGTGAACTATTCTGCTGTGCTGGGAAATGGCAGCTCCAGAGCCAAATTTAGCACCTAGAAAATTTCCCTTGGCTCTTAGGTGCCATAATTTTAAACCTGACTCCCTGCTTAAAGACAAAGTCATGTCTACATTTGATTTCAGGTGTTACATACAATAATTTAAGTAGCTAAGTGGGGATCTGGCAAGTCTCTGACTTATGAAGGGGGTTGGAAAATAATGTTTGGAGCCAAAAGTGCAGTTTTCTTGGCTATGGTCTGTACTCTGTCTAGCAGCTCTGCATTTATTCTTTCACTGACTTACTCAAGTGCTACAAATGGTG